ACTGAGATCCTGCTCTGCGCTAGAATGGTGAGGAACTGATGAGATCCAGAGACAGGAACTGACTTGTTCGAGGTCACTCAGCTAGTTAGGACCTTGACAGTTATTTCTGTAATACTTACTGGTCATCTATTCTGAAACCACAAGATCCTAAAAACGATTTCATTTAAATAAATACACACAGCAAAAAAGTGTGTATGTATATTTTTACTTATATAAAATATGTATCTCCTTATATATATTTATTTTTATTTTACACACTCACATACACAAAGATACCTTTTATCAGGCTGCATGTTGATGCATACAGAATGCCCTTACTTTATTGAAAAGACTGAAATTACTTGAAATTGGGGAACATCCTGGAAAATCTGGGACATATGGTTTGGTCACCATAATTATACTATGTGCTTTTTCTCAATCCAGTAGGGATTTCTTAAAATAGCCTTGCATTCCAACAGGATATAAAACCCTGTTGAAGATGCCCCAATCTGGAATCAAAGAGTCAGACTGGCTAAAAACAGATCTGGTTCATTTCACCCTCCAACTCAAATAGGATGCAAAACTAAACAATGTCATTAGAGGGACAGAGGACTTCATTTCCCCCAAACAGTCCTTTTAACCTAGAAAGCAAGAGGGCCGGGGCCATTGGCAAGCAGAACAATTTCTTGCTATTTTGCATTTCCTTCCTCAGAACTATCTTTAATACTTTGAGCCATGGAAGAGAAAGAGAACAAACTAAAATTAATTTTTAATTGAATAAAACAACAAAATAAAAGCACAGGCAGAAGCTTCCTAAGCCCCAGAATTCTACGTGCTCTGAGTCCAGGGCTCAGTTCATACAGACAAAAGGAATGAGGAGATTCGGGCTCTGTTCTGCCTGATTAATTCAACATTGTTCAGCAAAAGTCTCTCCCAATGGTTAGAACGACGACTAGATGATAATCACAAAGCCCTCAGTGAGCAGTTAAAAATGAATTTGTCTGAAACGTTCGCAGTGTCTACTGAGCAACATCAAAGGAGCTCAAGGCACAGCAGACTTTGTGGAGTAACAGGTTTAAAAATGAACATTTTTCTGCCTGCTAACTCTTAAAGCCCAACTTGTGTTCTCAGAGTCCAGGAGAATAAATCATCCAAGCAAAGAGATAATAATACTGAAGACATATGATGCAATTCCAAAAAACTCATTGTATGCCAATTATTAAACCAGAATGCTGATCACATCCTTATCAAAACTGTATGTCACCTTGTAGGTCATAGGAAAATATGATCTAGAAAATAGAATAAAAATCACACTGCGAACTTCATGAAAAACAACTAAAGGAACTCTCCTAGTTCAGCAAAAAAGGTCAGGCTGATCATCATTTTTTGATGACTTTCTTGTAGGGATAAACTCAAATGCATTTTCTTTCTCCCTTTCTGTTTGCAAGAATAATTTTTTTAAGAAAACATTTACGACATCCTGATAAGCAGCACCTAGAAGATGACATTCTGGCACCAGGAATTGCCAAGACAGCAGAAGCTCCTTCCAAGTTCTGAGGCTGAGGGAGTGGGGCGTTTGGCTGGTTTTCAGCATCCATCCAACTCATAGATCCTCCCGCCTTGCTTTATTGTGTGTGCTACTATTTTCCACACATCACTGGTTCCAAACGTTCTTCTCCCCAGAGCCCTTTCATCTCATTCCCCTTCTCTATTACTCTCTGGGTCTGTTTACTTTCCTTCCCAACCTTCATTAATTTCAGCAAATACATATATTATGCACCTACTCTTGCAAGACTCTACATCACTTTATCTCTCTTTGTAACACTCCAACATACCCATTTTCCTTCCTCAGAAACGCTATCTTCTAGATTCTTTAAAAATTCTGTGTGGATAGGAGGAGGATGATAAGTTCTTGTGAAATATTTCAGACTTACAAAAGAACTACAGAGTAATATAGCAAAACACCTATGTACCTACTGCCCACATTAAAGGATAAAACATTAATACAATTGGCATCTCTTGTGTAACCCCTCCCTGGCCACATCTCCTCTCCATCTCCCCACATATAACCACTAAACTGAATTTGGTTTTTATTCTTCCCATGCATTTTAGAACATTTGTACTATGTATGTCTATATCCAGTCACAATTGGATACACAATATATAGTATGGTTTCACATTTTCTTAAACTTGATATGCATCGTTTTTCTTTATACACACATTTTCTTTCTTCTGTTTGCTCTTTTGCTCAGCATTGTGCAGTTGAAAAGCCATCCATGTTAATACTTGTAGCTCTTGTTTATTCCACTGTCACTACTGTCTATTATTCCATTAAGTAAGTTCACCCCGGTACATTTATCCAGTCTCTGCTTGATGGACATTTAAGTTAATTCCAATGTTTATATTATTACAAGCAGTGCCACTGTGAACATTCTTGCACGAGGCTTCCTGCACACATTCCCAATATCCTCTTTAGCTTCACCTACATATTGAGTACCAGAGGAGTTGCTATTCCTTAAGTTGTCAATAAAACTCCTTCTGACCCAGCTATATTTCTCCCCCGCCTGAACTCTGGCCCTTTTCCATCTCATCCATGACTTAAAAGGACATGGCCAAGCTACTTTGATCAGTGAGGCTGAAAGATTCCAATAGATGCCACCCCCAGGCTCCCCGGTCTTTGGTTCTGCCTCTCATCAACATGCGTGGAGCCAGGGAAGTTACATTCTCATTCTGTGAACCGCGGTGCAGAATCAAGTCCTGGAGCCAGGGAAGTCACATTCCCATTCTGCAAACCTTGGTGCAGAATCAACTCGTTGCTATTGGGTTTTATATGACACTTCTGACTCACTGTTTGTTCCCTGACACAAAGCAGGTGATGCTATCCCAAGAAATTAATTTGGATTTCCTTTACACTTTAAATTGTAAAACAAGAATGAGCCTCTCAGCCTGGGTGGTCTGTTTCCTAGCTTATTTTTCCTAATCCCTTCCCCGCAGTCGGGTGAAAGCACCGTTATCCGCTCCTAGGCAAGGTCTAGGATGTCACATCCCAGGCTTGTTCAGTTCCTTTGGATTGCTTTATTTCCTTTATCATCTCTCTTGTCTGTGCTTCCAGATGTTATTAAATAATCTTCTAGATATGCCTTTAGGATTTGCTGCAAAGACACTTGAGATAAAGTATCTGTCAGAACCAATCTGGTAAGAATAAATGGGAAATATTTGGTATGAGAGTTGGGACCTTCCCTCCAGCAGTGATTATTCGAAGACAGAACAGTTTCTGACTGAAGACAGAGTCTCTTCCAGAGTCTCCTTTATCAAGACATTAAAATCTTCCTCGTACTGCCTAGAAGTCAAATCTCCTTTTTATCATTTTCCTGAATACTGTTTTCTTAATGACTTTACAAGAAGGAAACATGTGGAGAGTCTGAATAAAACCATGATAGAAATAAGGCTATTTGAGAAATAAGAATATGGAGAAGGAATATTTGGCTAATAACTAAGTGCAATAAACTATTAATAGCCATAATCATTGACAATCCAGGCACAAAAGACAAGTGTTTTTTTTTTTAATGGAATGATTTTTGTTTAAATTTCAATAGGTTTTGGGGGAACAAGTTGTATTTGGTTACATGGATAAGTTCCTTAGTGGTGATTTCTGAGATTTTGGTGAACCCGTCACCTGAGCAGTGTACACTGTACCCAATGTGTAGTCTTTTATATCTCACCCTCTCCTACCATTTCCCCTGAGTCCCCAAAGTCCTTTGTATCATTCTTATGCTTTTGCATCCTCATAGCTCCCATTTATGAGTGAGAACATAAGATGTTTGGTTTTCCATTGCTGAGTTACTTCACTTAGAATAATGGTCTCCAATCCCATGCAGGTTGTTGCGAATGCCATTATTTCATTCCTTTTTGTGGTTGAGTAGTACTCCATGGTATATATATATACCACAATTTCTTTATCCATTCGTTGATTGATGGGCATTTGGCTGGTTTCATATTTTTGCAATTGCAAATTGCGCTGCTATAAACATGTGTGTGCAAGTATCTTTTTCATATAATGACTTCTTTTTCTCTGGATAGACACCCAGTAGTGGGATTACTGGATCAAATGGTAGTTCTACTTTTAGTTCTTTAAGGAATCTCCACACTGTTTGCATAGTGGTTGTACTAATTTACATTCCCACTAGCAGTGTAAAAGTGTTGTCTTTTCACCACATCCACACCGACATCTGTTATTTTTTGCTTTTTTGATTATGGCCATTCTTGCAGGAGTAAGGTAGAACGGCATTTTGGTTTTGATTTGCATTTCCCTGATGATTAGTGATGATGAACATTTTCCATGTTTGTTGGATATTTGTGTATCTTCCTTTGAGAAATGTCTATTCATGTCCTTAGCCCACTTTTTGATGGGATTGTTTGGTTTTCTTCTTACTGATTTGTTTGAGTTCCTTGTAGATTCTGGATATTAGTCTTTTGTCAGATGTATAGGTTGTGAAGATTTCTCCCACTCCATGGGTTGCCTGTTTACTCTGTTGATTATTTCTTTTGCTGTGCAGAAGCTTTTTAGTTTAATTAAGTCCCATCTATTTATCTTTGTTTTTGTTGCATTTGCTTTCGAGTTTTTGGTCACGAAGTCCTTACCTACGCCAATGAAAAGACAAGATTCTTTACCAAGAAATGGTATCAACCAAGAAAACAAAAGGAACTACTAAAAACAAAGAATATATAAAGAACACAATTGAAATACACATCCCCAAATGACTTACATATTATAAAACTGGTGTTGGGAAGGAAGACAATACCTTCTAAAATTGCCACTTGGAAATCTAAATCAAGAATTTGTCACCAAAACATGTAGGGCAAGTTTTCCCCATTGAGTATGTATTCCTTGATGTACACATGCACACACACACATACACATACACAAACACTCACAAAGCATGAATGCACATATGCATGCACACAGTGTATGCCTGAAACTTGCAAGTACTTTAAATGTTTACAAATGAAATAATATGGAAACATTTCAGAGGTGCTTTGTCTTTGCCAGTAGACCAATTATGCAATTATATTCTATTTAGTGAGCATTCATTATAGTCACACATTGTGCCAGTTACTTTTATGAGGATTTAATATACACCCAAACCAAGGCAATTTGCTTCACATGTATTATTTCATTTGCTCCTCACAGAGGATTTTCTTATTCTCCTTTTTTTTCATGAGGAAACTGGAGTTTCAATCAGTAAATAATCTACTGAAGCTTTCTCAGTGAATTAAGAGCAGGACTATGAACCCAAGGTTGTCTGTTGGACTCCAAAACCTAAGGACTCAAGCACTACCCTAACCTGGGTCCACACAAAAGTTAACCATGATACTTAAAAACTTTTAGTCCTCGCAGTACCTTAAATATAGTAGGCATGATGGATGGGTGGATGGATGGGTGGGTGGGTGGATGGATGGATGGATGGATGGATGGATGGTTGGATGGATGGATGGATGGAAAAATGGATGGATGGATGGATGGATGGATGGATGGATGGATGGATGGATGGATTGATGGATGGATGGATAGGTAAATGGAAAGATGAATAGATGGACAAATTGACAGATTGAGGAGATGAAGGATGGTTTTTCTCTCCATAATAAGGGATGTATATAAACAAACATCCTTCTGGATATGGAGAGCATCTATTACTATCTATAGTAGGTAGATAGGTAGGTAGGTAGGTAGGTAGGTAAGTAGGTAGTTAGAAAATAAAACACTTGATTTATCTGTTTTATGAATTTAGTTTTTCTTTAGAGTTTCCTTTAACCTTTATATCTCAATATAAAGCACAGATGGAAGGAAGTATTTAGAAACGAGCTTTCCCAAATTGTGCCTTTATGCCCTAAGCTCATTTGAGGAACACATGAAAATAGCAAGTCTAGGGCCTAATCCCTACATGGATCTGGTGGTTTCACCAGCTCTTCCCATACCAAACCTTTCTGTGCAGCCAGCTGCCTCCCCTGAACAGGAGAGGCCTGGCCGCAGCAGAGCGAGACTCCATCTCAAAAAAAAAAAAAAAAGGTGGGGGGGAAGTCTGCACACCCACATCTGCTCTATAGCAACCCGCATGCCCCAAGCAGAGCCACAAAATCCTCTCTATATAAGGAGATCAGCGTTTCTCAGGATGGCCAGACCTTGAGCACGAAAGTAGGAAACTCAAGTAAGGAAGAATAAACCTGCACAAGAGCTGCATGAAGCACTGGCGCCAGGGCTGACACTGCAGCCAGGGCAGCCCATGTCCGACCAGCCACAGGCCCTGCACAAGCGGGGCACTCCTACATAAACTCTGATGGGACACTCCAGGAAGGTTTTTGCACACGTTGTTTAATGAATCTTCATCTTACTGAAGTTCATATTGTGTTGATCCCATTCTGCAGATGAGGTGAGTAAGGTTTCCAAGAGGACAGATGATTTACAGGACAGAGTCGAGAGTCAAGCCCGCATCTGTCTGATTTCGAAGATAGTGTGCTTCCAAACACACTGAACTCCTGATGGTCCCTTCCTGTTCCTGACCCATCCATCTGCCACCCAGCTGCACAGTACAGCTCCCCAGGTGCACAATAATGTGAGAGTTAAATAACAGTAGTAAAGACCCATATAAAATGTTTACAGCCATATTAAGTTTTCCTCATTGCAGAGTGACTGGGTGCTTCCTGCATCTGATGAGCATTTGGCTTTGAGATTTAACCAAGACTGCTCAACGTACACAAACACAGCCCACAGCAGAGCGGACACTCTGTCGAAGGTAGGGAAATGACCAGTGTGATCCATTTTGTGTGCAAGCTATGACGATGCTAGAGACTTTGGTCCAGTGGGTCTCCCTGAGATGAAAATAAGACCCTAGTGCAAAACAGTAAGCACACTGATGCATGTTCATAGCTTTCACCTATTTCCTGAAGAGGAGCTAGGACCCCCAGAAGATGGGAAGCACCCTCTCAGGGATTCCTTTTAATGGCCAGTTCTTTAGGCGTTGTCCAGGGCAGCTATGGAAAAGGCTCGGTGTCGGCACCTGTTTGGCATTCAAAGCCAAACACAGGCTATTTTCCAAGCCTTCTGTGCTGGTGCTGGGCCTACCAGGACAGGAAATGCAGATTAACATCCTAAACAGACCCCTCTCCAAGTTAAGCTCAGCATTCTCCTGAATCCCTGTCCAATCTGCCTGCAATACTTCACCATGAGCTACAGTGCCTGCAAAGCTGTACCGTGTTCATTACCAGGCACACACTTCACAGCTGATTTCAAATTTCCACAGACAACAACTGTGAAAGCAGGCAGCTAACGGCCCTTAGCTGTTAGTCAAAGAGCATAGATTCTCAAGAAAGAGAAGTCAAGGATGAAGCCACGGCAAGTTTGACATTTGGAATCTAAATTTGACACTGCTGGAAAGGTCCAAAGGCCTCAAGCCCTTGTTCTCTGGAAGGCACTGTTTCACTAAAAAGGAGAAGGATGTCCCCGACAGATCGAGCAAATGTTTTCAGGACACTGTGGGGTTCCCAGCCACAAACCGCGTGTCAAAACAGAGACCTCGAAGGTGTGGGCATCGGGCAGAATTGACGTGAGGCCAAGGGAACAGGAAACAATAAGATAATAACCCTCACTGAAACCTAGAAACCAAGAACAAACAAACACACACCCAGGGTCCCTGGGATGTCACATCACGGGCCTCCTGCCAGGGAGTGCTGAGGGGGCACAGAGCTGCCCTCCCTTGCCATCTCTCTGAAGCCCCCCACCTTGAATTCTACGCAAAAGCTGTGCTCCCCTACAGCTAGTCTGGAAGGGGAAGAACTTTCTTTAAACTACAGCTGAAGAATTCAAGACTTCAAGAAGCAGTTTGAATAGCAGGGAGTTGGAGAGAGAGCAGGCACAAGATCGAAAGTTTCCTCCACAAAGAATCAGTCAGGTCTGCAGGCTCACTTTTATATCTAATAGGAAATCTAAGGAGCAGAGGACTTGGCCCCAGCAAAACATTATAATAAGAAAACCCATGATATACAATGTATGACTTCTTACCATAAGTATGCATTACTTTTCTATTTCCTTAAAATCCACTAAAAATATAAAAAATAAAAATTCTATGAAGTAGATATCATGGGTGTTATTGTCACCATGTTCTATGAGTGACTCCTGTACCCAAGGTCACACAGTTAATTAGTGGAGAACTAGAACTCAGGCCTTGTAACGCTTAACTATTTCTTCAGTTCACCTCACCAGAGGCATCTATAATAGCTGCCTGGGTTCCAACTTTTTTGTTTGTTTGTTTGTTTGTTTGTTTGTTTGAGATGGAGTCTCACTCTGTCACCCAGGCTGGAGTGCAGTGGCTCGATCTCAGCTCACTGGAACTTCCACCTCCCTGGTTCAAGCGATTCTCCTGCCTCAGCCTCCTAAGTAGCTGGGATTACAGGTGTGTGTCACCACGTCCGGCTAATTTTTGTATTTTTAGTGGAGACGGGGTTTCATCATGTTGGTCAGGCTGATCTCAAACTCCTGACCTCATGATCCGCCCACCTCGGCCTCCCAAAGTGCTGGGATTACAGGCGTGAGCCACCACGCCCAGTGGGTTCCAACTTTTTATAGGCAGTTTCATAGCAGTAAAGGTGACTTTACAGGCCAAAGGAATGGTGACTCCCATCAGCTGTCAGCAAGGTGGGAGAAAGAGCCCAGACGACCGTCTTATTCAGTTGAGGCCTCCTGTATATTTTGCACACACAGATGACAGCCTCCCATGCCCTGGGCACTCCTCAAGTTTCTGGGAATGCAAAGGTGTTAAGAAATGGACCCCAGGCCAGGCTCAGTGGCTCATGCCTGTTATCCCAGCATTTTGGGAGACCAAGACGGGCAGATCATGAATTCAAGACCAGCCTGGCCAATATGGTGAAACCCCATCTCTACTAAAACTACAAAAATTAGCCAGGCATGGTAGCACACACTGTAGTAGCTGTAGTCCCAGCTACTCAGGAGGCTAAGGCAGAAGAATCACTTGAACCCAGGAGGTGGAGGTTGCAGTGAGCTGAGATTGAGCCACTGCACTCCAGCCTGGGCAACAGACGAGTCTCAAAAAAAGAAAAAGAAAGAAATGGACCCCAGCCACCTGAGTTCTCACAGAGCGGGGCGGGGGAGGGGAGCAGAGAAGTAAAGAGAATTCGCAATACGGCATGAGAGTACTGAGATAGTGGTGGGTGCAGGATGCCACAGCAGCATTTACCGATGTTTATTGGGTCCCACATTAGGCCAGACCCTGGGGATTCAGGGACAAATAGGAGGAGGTCCTTATCTTTGAGGATCTCTCTAACCAGGGGAAGTAAATTAACTCAGCCTAATGGGATCAGCCAGTAAGTGCTTTAGTGGACATTTGAATAGAACTCAGAGGATGGAGGAGAGGATTCTGAGCTGCAGGACACCTGGCACTCACTGCGTAACCCCTAGCAAAGGCCCACAGTCAGCGCTGCCCAAAGGCACTGCCATCTCTTCTACCGCTGTGCTCCTCCACCCTTCCCTCTGATTGTTAGAATAACTGAGAAAGTTCAGGGGTTCGCTTCACTTCAAAGCGATTTTCCTCATTGTAGTTGTTCTTGCCGTTCTTGTGAAGCAATCCTTCAGCTCTCTGTTTGCCTTCTCCTTATCATTGTTTTCTCTGCCAGACCTGGTGGGGCCTTCAGAGACAAATCCATTCGGGAATAGCCCTCCTCCCAGAAAAGTCCATCAAAGGCAGCTCCTGTGGGTAAAAGGCTCCACACGCAGAGGGCAGCTGTAGGAACCACACCAGCTGCTCTCCTGGGTCAATAGGTCAAGCCCAACAAAAACTCGAGCTCACATTTCTGACCCTGAGTGCCTCAATAAACTTCAGAGGGCATTTTGAGTATTAAGGTGATACTTGTAAAAATAACCAGAAGTGTGGCATTTCTACTACGGTGTAATGGCAAAGTAAAATTGGAAATGGCTGACGAACGGCTATCATTGACTCAAGCAAGTGAACTGAAAAACATGCCGGGAAAAGAAAACACTGCTGTGACAGAAAGAGTTGAAGGTATGGATTCAAAATTGATCCTCCGGCACAAGTAGGCAGTTCAAGTGTAGAGGTTAGATATAAATCGAAAGGGATCTGGAGCCTCGGTCCTCTGGAAGGAAGAAGGAAGCCTGAGAGCATTTGCGGGTCTCTCCACAGAGCAATAACACAGAAGCTAACAGTGAACGTTTCCTTTTAAGATAGAGTCTCACTCTGTCACCCAGGCTTGAGTGCAGTGGCGCTATCTTGGCTCACTGCAACCTTCGCCTCCTGGGTTCAAGTGATTCTCTTGCCTCAGCCTCCCAAGTACCTAGGATTACAGGTGTGTGCCACCATATCCAGCTAATTTTTGTATTTTTAGTAGAGATGGGGATTCGCCATGTTAGCCAGGCTGGTCTCGAACTCCTGACCTCAGGTGATCTGTCTGCCTTGGCCTCTCAAAGTGCTGGGATTATAGGCACGAGCCACCGCACCCAGCCAGTGAATATTTTCAACAGCTTGTTTTCTTCTACTAAGCACAACACCTTGCTAAATAAAGGTGGATCCTAGGAAGCATTGCCTAAATGAATATTCTAGTGTGATTATTTTCACTAGAATTATACTTGCATTGCAAATGTGGGTGCATCTATTGATTTGGCCTGTATGCCTTCACGTTATTTTTATAAAGGTAAATGAACTAAGGGGATGACTCCACGTATCTCAAGGCCTCTACCAACTACTCTTCTTCCTTTCTTTCTTCCTTTCTTCCTCTGTCTCTCTCTCAGCAACAGGAAATTTGATCACTGAGCCTATAGCAAAGGCAGCCAATCAATAGCTCAGAGTGGAAAAAGCCCATCTGGGAAAACTCATATAACTGACCCAGCAGAAGGGAAGTAATCAGAGTACGCCTCATGTCGTGTCCCTACTGGCCAAAAATACACACATTTGGGAATACGTATAAGCAAAATAACCTGGTAGATTACTATAGAAGAATTAAGACAAGGATCAGGAAAGGGAAGAGTTTGATGGAAGTCAAGAACCTTTGATTACTCATCTCCTGCAAGGACAATCTGAGAGAAAATACAATGACATCATTAACCATCAATCATTTATTTTTGGTTCCAGGCCACTTCAATAAAGCAAATAATGCTAAAGCAAGCCATATGAATTTTTTGTTTCCTTGTGCATATAAAAGTTATGTTTACACTATAATGTAGTCTATTAAGTGTACCACAGCATTACATCTAAAAATGGTGCATACCTTAATTTAAAAATACTTCATTGCTAAAGAATTCTGACAATCATCTGACCCTTCAGCAAGTCACAATCTTTTTGCTGGTGGAAGGTCTTTCCTCAGTGTTTCTGGCTGCTGAATGATCCGGGTGGCGGTTGCTGAAGGTTGAGAGGCCTGTGGTGATTTCTTAAAATAAAACAACAGTAAAGTTTGCCACATTAGTGGACTCTTTCTTTCATGAAAGATTTCCTTGTAGCATGCATTCCTGTTTGATAGCATTTTACTACCGTAGAACTTCTTTCAAAACTGGAGTCAATCCTCTCAAACCCTTCCACTGCCTTATCAACTTTATATAACATTTTAAATCTTTTGTTGTCAGATCAACAATATTCACAGCATATTCAGCAGGAATAGATTCCATCTCAAGAAACCACTTTCCATACTCAACCATAAGAAAGCAACTCCTCATCTATTCAAGTTTTATCGTGAGATTGCAGGAACGCAGTCACATCTTCTGGCTCTACTTCTCGTTCTAATTCTTTTGCTATTTCCACCTAACATGTGGCTACTTCCTCCACTAAAGTCTTGAGCCCCTCAAAGGCAACCATGAGAGTTGCAATCAATTTCTTCCAAACTCCTGTTCATGTTGATATTTTGACCTCCTCCCATGAATCATAAGTGTGTTTAGTAGCATCTGGAATGTTGAATCCTTTCCAGAAAGAATTTTACTTAGCCCAGATCCATCAGAAGAATCACTATCTATGGCAGTTCTAGCCTTATAAAATGTGTTTCTTAAATAATAAGACTTGAACATCAGAATTACTCCTTGAACCCTGGGGTGCCGAATGGATGTTGTGTTAGCAGGAATGAAAACAACATTAACCTCCTTGTACATCTCCATTAGAGCTCTCGGGTGACCAGGTGTATTGTCAATGAATATTTTGAAAGGAATGTTTTTTTCTGAGGAGTCAGTCTCAACAGTGGGCTTAAAATATTTAGTAAATCCTGCTGTAAACAGGTGTGTTGTCATCTAAGCTTTGTTGTTCCATGAATAGAGTATAAGCAGAGTAGATTTAGCATAATTCTTTAAAAACTTCAGGATTTTGAAATTATAAATAAACATTGGCTTAAATTTAAAGTCACCAGCTGTATTAGCCCCTAACAAGAGAGTCAACCTGTCCTTTGAAGCTTTGAAGCCAGGCATCAACTTCTTTCTAGCTAAGAAAGTCCTATATTTCATCTTCTCCCAATACAAACAAGGCTGTTTCATCTACTTTGAAATTCTGTTGTTTAACGTAGCCACCTTCATCATTTGTCTTAGTTAGGTCTTCTAGATGATTTGCTGCAGCTTCTCCATCAGCACTGCTGTTTCACCTTCCACTTTCATGTCATAAAAATGGTTTCTTTCCATAAACTTCATGGACAAACCTCTGCTATCTTCAAACTTTTTTTTTCTGTAGCTTCCTCACCTCTCTCAGCTTTAATAAAATTGGAGAGAGTTAGGGCCTTCCTCTGGATTAAGCTTTGGCTTAAGGGCATGTTGTGGCCGGTTTGACCTTCTATGCAGACCACCCAAACTTTCTTCACATCAGCAATGGGACCGTTTCGCTTTCATATCATTCATGTGTTCACTGGAGTAGCACTGTTAATTTCCTTTAAGAACTTCTCCTTTGCATTCACAACTTGGCTAATTGTTTAGTGCAAAAGCCTAACTTTCAGCCTATTTCGGCTTTCTACATGCCTTCCTGCCTAATATTAATTATTTATAACTTTTGATTTAAAGTGAGTGTCAAGTGACTCTGCCTTTCTTTCACTCGAATACCTAAAGGATGCTGTAGAATAATTAATTGGTCTAATTTCAATATTGTTGTTTTTCAGGAAATAGGAAGGTCCAAGGAGAGGGAGAGAGATGGAGGAATGGCTGGTTGATGGAGTAGTCAGAACACATACATTTACGAATTAAGTTCATCATCTTATGTGGGCACAGTTCAAGACAATTCCAATGGTAACATCAAAGATCACTGATCACAGATCATCATAACAGATATAATAATAATGAAACAGTTTGAAATACGGTGAAGATTACCAAACTGCGACACAAAGATTGCAGTGAGCACATGTTGCTGAGAAAATCGCACCAACAGACTTGTTCGATCAGGGTTGCACAGGCCTTCAATTTGTAAAAAACGCAATTGCTTCAAAGGGCAATAAAGCAAAGTGCCATAAAACGAAGTATGCCTGTAATTCACCTCTCTTTCTCCTCTTTCCTGGCCCCATCCTCCCCAAAAATATCACGACTGACTTTTTAAATCCTCTCAGCAAACTATCCCAGCATCAACCTCACCTCTTTTTTTATGCCTTCAGGGATGTAGCCAAAGCTAAGGAATATGTCCTGTTCCGTGGAGAGCGGACGATCAATAGGTGGTTCCCAGATAATGGAGTGACTGGAGTGAGGGTGAGCTCCCCGTTCTCCAGCAGCTGTCAGAACTGACTACCCAAGTGCTGAACTGAAGACAGCCCAAGATAGTACAAAGAGTAATTTGGACAGTGGAGTGACCATTGTTCTCAGAAAGAGGACAAAGCTGGGGAAAATGGAACACATTAAAAAACATTTAGAAACACAGACAATTCAACTCTTTTTGGGGGGAAGCATGGGGAGAGACAGGAGGTATTTTACTAGGTCCTCTGATGTGGAGGAGCAGAGCTGTCCATATGTGTATGTGTGCATTTTTCTAGAGCGAGTGAATAGCTGTCATCAGACTCTCAAAATTCTCCCAGAAACTTCCTTCCCTCTCTATCCCAAAGAACCATTAAGAGACTGCCCAGGAAACTGGGTCAAATGTAAAACATCACACAGTGGAAGAATTCCAAAGTTGGATACCCAGGAAGTCTGCCCTCTGCCTTTAAACACAAGCATGTGGGGATCTTTGGCTGTGTGGCTTCATTTAGCTCATGTATTGGCTCCCATTGAATGTCTCATAGGCAAGTACTCTTTCTTGGTCAGTCCTCTGTAGGTACAGTTTGAAAAATGCACTCCGATTTTCAAAGACCCCAGCCAAGGATCTGCCTCAACTAAAACGCTCTCTTCCCACCCCACATAAACACCTCAATCCCCTGAAGAAGGAGGCTGAAGAGTTTCCAAGTTTGTGACTGGTTATTACTACAATGGACAATTCACTGAGAACTGAAAAGTTTAAACTTTCAAAATTTGAATAATTCTGGTTGTGGCTATTCAAATAAGGAAATGTTAACGATTTTTTCTCACCATTTATTCACTGACACATTGAGCAAGAGTTTATTGATCCAGGCCCTGGGGATGTTCCATGAATGACACCATTCCTCCCCTCAGGAAGCTAATTGTCCCAGACTCTGTCTACCTTCAGTTACTCAGAGTGACAATTTTCAAGCTTACTACAGGATCTAAACTAAGAATCCACCAGATGACTGTCTATGGCAGTGGCCCTGCTCTTTGAAAGTGACTTTAAAACTTACTGGCCAGTTCTATCACAAGGATTCTGATGAGGACCACCTGGGGCTGCCAGGCGGCTTAAGTGAGAAGAGATAGGTGAAAGGTCTTTGTAAGCTCCAAAGCACTTTATAAATGTAGTGTATTGTGACAATGACCTCCTTCTACCCAGTTCTTACAACTTATAGATTTTTCTTTTTCTTTTTTTTTTTTTTTTTTTTTTTTTTTGGTGGTGGTATATGGAAGAAAAGAAAGTATCAGTAAGGCTATGAAGATAGACTGAAATTTTAAGGCCATTGCAAAACCTGTACTACTCCTTTTGCCACTGCCACCACCAGCAAGAAAAGGAAGTATTTTCATATGGGGAGCAGGATACAGAATCAGAGGACAATTTAAAGCAGATAGCCCAGGAATCTAGATATGGGTGCGCAGAGGTGCTGAAAGCCTGAAACATGAACAAACACTCCCCTACATTTTAAAAGAAGAAGAAAATAGATTTTGCAAACAGACCTCAAAACCAACATTAACCTTGGGCGAGAATTGAGAACTGATTATAATAACAGCTGCTAATATATATGAAGGCTTGTCATGTGCCAGATCCCATGCCAAGCATTTTTCATGTATTAATTCACTTCCATGTGGTAAGAACTCAATGATAAGAAATTAGTTAATACACGTATAATTAGAACAGTGCCTGGCACGTAGTAAGTACTCAACACTCTAGCAGGATTATCAGCTCCATTTTATAAGTGTGGAAACCGAAGACAAAGAGACGAGTCTGTGTGTTTATATTTACACAGTGAATTTCAGTGATAGACCCAAGCTGCCTGATCTTAAAGTCTGGAGGAAAAACATCTTCAAGGACCTTTCTGTATTTACATTTTTATCATTCTTTGAATGACTAATTCAATTCAACACACAGTACCTACTTTAAGTAAAAGAGTCCAAGTTCCAGGAGAACTTGGGGTTTTTAAGTACCTGCTTTGAGTAAAAGATTCCAAGTTCTAGGAGAAAAGGGAACTGGGTTATGTCACTGCTGTATCTCCAGTCAATTAATTGCAGGCATTTGGAAGAATAAGAATTAAGTCACGATACCGCAGAAGCTCACGAGCCAGTGGAAAGATACCTGCTTAAAAACCTAATATCTGTCTGGCTGATATACGGACTCCAACAGAAGAATGTGCTGGGGAATGAGAAACTGCAGATCAGGGAGAAACCTCTTGAGCTGGGTGTCCTTCGCTGTGAGTCAATGTTAGAAAGCTTTGAAGCATAACCAGGCAGGAAGAGGACTGATGCCCTCTTGGCATAATAAGGCCAGTGCTATTAGTCTGTTATAAATAGGGTTAAGGTTATGTTAATAGAAAGAATATTAATTTCTCCTGATTACCAGATGGGGGTCTTTAGAAGGAAATTAGTCCCAGGGGTCATAAACTGTCTTTGAGTTTTTATACTTTGGGAGAAAGCCAACCCAGCCTGGAGTTAAAGCCCCACTGTGTGTTCCACCCCACCCCAAAAAAATCCTCTAGGCCAGATCTCACCCCTTAATGGTACCAGGGAGTGAGGCGCCCGGAACAGGAATATAGCGCCCTACCCGATCTGCCACTACCACTTCCATCACATGCCACACTTGACCAAAGAGAGCTTTGGAAAAATCACATAAAACCCTTCAAAAACAACTCCTTAAACCCTCCATTAATGTCCTAAGGGAGTGACCAGCTAGAGTGATTGTGTTGAGGCAGCAACATAACAGTCATTCAGAACTGCCTTTTCCCAAAGCTGTTTATAGATTGCAATGGCCACATGACAGTTCTCACCTTTGAAACATATGTGGAAGGTTTTAGGCAGGGCTGCAAAGAAAGTTCCTAAAAGGGAGGAGAAGGCATTATCAGCTGTCATGCACCTTTTTGCCTTTCAGTCTTCCACTATCCTCCTTCATGAAATCCAGAGATGGTGACTGGAGGCATGGCAGCCCTTTCACAGCCGCAAGGAAAATGTCAAGAGACTCACAGAGTTCTCATGTTAAAATCCCCGAATTACCAAATCAGTATCACAAACTGAATACCTAAAGATTTCTTCTCATATGATAAAAAAGAATTCCTATTGTATTTAAGCCATTGTTATTTGGGTTTTCATTCCTAAAACTGGACTCAAAACTCAAAGCAGTCATAGATTACTATAGAGCAATGAGGTGCAGTACAAAGAGCTAGGAGGTCAGACTCATGCTGGAGTCCTAGTTCTTTAGGAACTGTGTGACCTGAATCAATGACCCTCCTCTGTAAAGGGGAGTGTCTTGCTGTGGGTGCTCCCAAAAGCCAAGTCTGAACAAGGACTTGGGTGGCAGCAGGTGATTTATTTGAAAGGTGATCTTAGGAAGCCAGAGAAAGGTAGTGGACAAGGAAGGAGGGAAGATCAATAAAGAGTATGCTATTGAGCTGGGTCTCACTGTGGGCAATTCTGATTCAAACCCCTGAGGACCTTCAAAGAAAATTCCGTAGAACCTTCCTACTGAAAATGTGGGCCATGGGCCAGCCTCCGCATTAGCTGGCAGCATGTTAGAAAAGCAGAGTCTAGTCCCCACCCCAGACTTTCCGTACAATAATTTGCACCAGGAGCTCCTGTGCACATTCAAGTTTGAGATGTCCTGGTATAGAATGCACCTCAATGCTGGGCTTTGGAAAGACAGAAGGCTCTTGTCACTCATTAGTAGAGGAAACATTTGCTCTCTTGCGTTTCCTGGCTGAACAGACTTCCACAGCTTAGGAGAAAACCCTAAAGAAGGAAAGTTGGGAAACTCAGCAGGCACTTGAGGTGGGAACTGAAAGGACACAAAGACACAAAATGCGTACCCTCCCTTCCCCCCCCCGATGTTGCTAAACTCTTTGTTCTACTTTCTAATCTTTGCACATACCAGAGATTTCGTAAGTTCTGTGAGTACCTGTCTTTCTGCACGTACCAGAGATTTTGTAAAGGTCACAAGACGTGTTTAAGTAAGATAAACTCTTGCTGCCATAAACCTGCTCTCCCACCTCAAGGGTTGTACTGAAATATCAGAAATGGCGGGAACCAATCATAGTTTGCCAAATCGCTTTGTTCAAACTCCAGCCAATCATACCTCTAATTTGTATAATGATTCTATGCCTACTTTCCTTAGACTATATAACATTGTTCGGAGCTCAGTGGGGGAGCTCTCCCGCCCGTCTCGTTTCGCGAGCGAGGGAGAGTTCCAGGTTCGAACCTGTAATAAAGATCCTTGCTGCTTAGCTTTGACTCTGGACTCTGGTGGTCTTCTTCGGGGAATAAACGGTCTGGGCATAACAGAACCCTTCATGAGGGGAAAACTGATCACCCAGGCTGAGGGGATGAGGTGTGGAGCACCAGCAGCATCCACAACTGCGGGTAGTTATAATACCTAGTTCATACGGACATTGGAGACATGAAATGAGCTACTGTATATAACAGGAGAGTTGCCCAGTACTCTATTGCTGTTATAATCATAGCTACAACAACCAACCTCATTTGAAAAGACATCTTATGACTTACATGATAAAAGCCAACCTAGTTCCTGTATCTCCAACTCCCTGAGATAAGAAGCACAGTCCTTGACCTCAAGGAACTTCCAACCTTGATAGGGAGATAAGGCTTGGGGACATGAAGCAATGCAAGACTGGCGTCACACATTATGTAATAACACACTCACATCAGTATTAGCAAGAGTCCTTTTGTGTGCTTATTATATACTAGGCACTCTTCTAAGAGGGGTGTGTGTGTGTGTGTGTGTGTGTGTGTGTGTGTTTTAATTCATTTGATCCTTACAAGAACCCAATAAAGTCGGTTCTATTATTAGCACCATTTCACTGATGAGGAAACTGAGGGACCAACAGGTGAAGTGACCTGCCCAGAGGCTATACATTTAATCTCCACACACCACTAAAACTAGTATAGCTCCACATTGCCTATCACCTCTCCTGCAGTGAGCCTCTCACTGTGATTTTAGACATGTTCTCTTTTTCCATGCTTAACTCTCCTTCAAGGTAAGCAAGTTGCCTAATGCTGCGTCATTGTATAGATAGTGTGGGAACTGGATTTCAGTGAGATTACATTTCAGAGCACAGCAATAGCCAGGGCTCCATTAAAGGCTTCAGAGGAACCAAAATCAGCTGAGCTCCTATTCACCCAGAGGTCAGGGAGGTGGGGTGGACAGTGCCTAGACCTGGAATCAGGAATGCTGAGTCCTAAGCCAAGTGTGGCCACTAACTCAAGCCATTTAGCCATTTGAGTCTCATTGTTCTCATCTACAACCCAAAGGGGGTAGGATTAGCTCATACCCTAGTGTTCCCTTTAAGCTCTAAATTCCAGTGGCTGAATGACTTGCTTAAGCCCTCTACTCATCTCTCAGTCCTCCTGGGAAAATACCTATAATGCAAAACCTGAAAGTAAGGAGAGTTTTTCCAGTCTTATTTGCTATAATATTATTTCACCAAAGATTTAAATATTGATCATTTAAGAAGCTGCAATGTCAAAAACCCACATAATGATATCTATAAATATTCTATGGATGTCACCTCCCATCTAATGTCAAGGTGTACTGTACTTTCAAGACTATTTTCTAATTTTGCAAAGCATTTGCACTTGGACTAACCTGGCCTTCCACTTTGTACTCTATATGTCTAATTCATTTGCTCTCTGTGACCTGATGTAGCCCTCAGCACCCTTGCTCCTTCCACAATTGTACCTTATAACTTCATCATTAATGCCACAACGTGAACTCACCCCAGCAACTTCTTACCATGTGTGCCAGGTTACTTTCTTGCTGCAGTGATGCAGTCTTCCTACCAGTGTGCAGTTTTTTAAATGGATCAAAGATTGGAGCCTATCTTCTGAAAAGTCACCCTCCAGGCTCCAATATTCCGGAAATCCATTGTTTGAAAATACCGGTTGGACAACTTCAACACAAACAGAAAAATGCCATTCTGTAGGCTTCAGGAAAAACATTTATGAAGGTGCCCTATCCAGTCAGTTCTCTCTTTGTCCACCCACAATCCTCCTCCACCCTCAAGAGAAGGTCCTGTGAATTGAGAGGAGGCTTAGGCCCTAAGAAAAAGCCCAGAAAGGGGTGATGTGAATGGCACATTGTTCTATTCTGCCAGTTGCTCTGACTCAAGGACCACAGGTTAATTTCATAATCTTCCCCTTCCACTCCTCTTTCTATTTTTCTTTTAAAGCAAACAAGGCATCAGCAGGACTCCCAAAGCAATTTAAAAGTCATAAGCATCTGTCACTGTGAAGGATACAGCATCCACTATTTGCAAAGAACTGTAGAGACACAAATAGCACAAAGTCGGTTCCTGTCCCTCCAAGTGCCTAAGATAAAGACAGCACAGCCTCTGACCTCAAGGGACTTACAACCTTGATAGAGAGATAAGACGTGGGGACATGAGGCAATACAAGACCAGTGCCACACATTATGTAATAACACACTCACATGAGTATTAGCAAGTGTCCGTGGCTGGAATTTCCCCTGTTCTCTTCCCCTCTTCAGTGCCTTCAAAGTCTTCTCTTGAGCCAATGTTGTTATTTGTGCCTAGTTGAAAGACTGCTCCCTCCTGCACCTGGGCAGCAGAGACAAAGACCCTAACTTCTCTGAGCAGCCTGAAAAGCGACAAAGGGGAATTGGCACAGTTGGAGTTGAGAAATTGGCAGAGAGGTGATAACGTTTAAAGTCACAGACATTGCTCTCAGCATTTATTGATTGTAATTCAAGAGAGGAAAAAGGAATAAAATTATCCCCATACTGGAAGTCCTTTGGAATATGCGCCAAACAGTGTCTAGGGAAAAACTGGCATGTTCTTGAAACACATGTTACTCCTCTCCCCTCCCACACCCACAGCAGACATCACTAATCAATGACAGCACTCTTCCCTGCTGGGCACTGCGTGTCCTTAACACTGTTCTCAGCACAGCACTCCAGGCAGCCACAGCAATTGAACAGAGTTGCCACAGGAGATGAAGTCTCTTCTATCCCAGCTAGTGAAAGGGAGTGAAGACACCTGGTGCTGCCTTCTGGGTCCCCTCACCACCTCACAAACACAACATGTTCATCCACACCTCCTGGCCATTACAGGTCAAGACACTGTACTTGAATGTTCTCCCTTCTGCTTTTCCAAAGCAGAGTCATCCTTTCAGGTCTGGTTCAAATTTCATTTTTCCAAGAAGCCTCTAGGGTGCCCCAACCCAATGTTCCCTCACCCAATCTCTCTTTCCTTCCATTTCCCAGGGCTGCCTTCTGATACCACACAAGGGAGCTCTATCCTGTGCCCTCTGGTTTTGTTTCCTTATTACTCTTTCTTCCTCTACTAGACTTTAAACCTCTAATGTCTTCCAAATGTTTAAAAAACTTTGTTCAAAAAAAAAAAAACTAACACAGGACATCGGATACAGTAGAATATCTGGTAAATAGGGGTTTTGTTTGTTTTAAATTTCAGTAATGGAATTGTTAACTTTGGGGGTGACTTTTAGTTTTGCTTTCTAGAAGTAGAGGCTGCCGTTTGCTTTGGAGCCCCTCCCTTCTTTATTTGGGGAAGTTCATAGGCCTTTCAGTTCCATCAAAGGAAGATAAGTCCCCACTCATTGTCCCCGGAGGAAACTGTGAGGTCTTCTTATATTTGCATGTATGTGCCAAACATGTAAAGTGAGCTCCCAAGCCAGACTGTACACTTGAAAGCAGAAGAAAAATGGTTTTTCCTAGAGAGAAATGCATACTGGACTGTTAGCTCTCCCCATTCCCTACCTGTCATGGACTGAATATCTGTATCCTCTCCAGATTCATATGTTGCCATTCTAACTCCTGCTTTGATGGTATTAGAAAGTTTGTGGGGGTGATTAAGTCATAAGAGTGGAGCCCTTGTGAATAAGATTAGTACCCTTGAAAAAAGCCTCAGAGAGCTCTCTCTCACCCCTTCTACCAAGTGAGGACACAGAGAGACAACAGTTATCTGTGAAGCAGGATATGGGTGGGCCCTCACTGAATACCGAGTCTGCCAACACCTTGATTTTGGACTTCCCAGCCTCCAGAACTGTGAGAAATAAATGTTTATTTTTTAAACCACCCAGTCTATGGTATTTTCGTTACAGCAGCTCGAACAAACTAAAACATTACCCCCAATGGAGATAATAAAAGTGAATACCTGGGACTCTGGAGAATGTGCTGAGGACCACTATACTGGGTCATGGAGCTCGCCCTTAGTTAGACTTCTTGAGGGGAGGGAGAAGATTGTGTTTGGGCTTGGAGCAAATGTGCAAGCAGTGGTTCTTCCTTGAGATATGGGGCCAGGGCAGGGGTGGCAATGAGCAGAAGAACCTGTGGCTGAGCCAGACAGTCTGGCTTTCAGCAGTGGCATCATGACAACCCTGATGGCAGGGGACAGCAGGCCTGCAGCCAGATTGACCAGACTTCCTGACCATAGTAACCAGGCTGATGTCCTGGGACAGAGTAGCAAGCCTAGGAGTCCCCAAGAACATCCTGGGAGAAGAACAGCCCCAGGAAAATTGACTTCTCCATCAATGAGGGGTCAGAGATACATGGGGTCAGAATCATGTTAATTGACTGTTAAGATACAGAGAGAGAAAGCTGCTGCAGGTGATCTCTTTCAAGTAGGTGACATAGATCTGGGGTCCTACCTATTTGGACCCTATCTCTTCTTACCTCTCCTGCTTTCCTAAAGGGCTCAAGTTGAAAATCATAAGTTCTAATCTGAATTCCTTGTTTTATGCCTAGAAGAACCAGAGCCCAGAGACATAGAGAAGATCATTCAAGAGCACATGCCAAGCTAAAGACAATACCAGGGACAGAACCTCATCTTCTGATTCCTGGTCCAGTTCTCCCTCCAGCTCAGCAAACAGCCTTTGGATTCCACTTGGGAGCAAGTCTTCCCTGAATGCCCACCATGTGCTCAGTCCTGTGCTGTGCTGAGTGAAACACACAGATGTGTAGGACTTAGTGCCTGTTCCCCAACCCACACCCAAGAATCTTACAGTCAGGTTGGGGAAATAAGGCCAGTGAACCCTGACTTCCTCATGCTGTGGGTGGTACTGGAAATCAATCTTCCTGCTTTAGATTTGTACCATTGCTAGGTCTGAATATCTGTGATCCTCCCTCATACCCAAAACTCATCTGTCAAAACCTAATCATCAATGTGATGGTATTAGGAGGTGGGGCTGTTAGGAGGTGATTAGATCTGATAATGGAATTAGTACCCTTATAAAAGAGGCCCCAGAGAGCTGCCTTTCTCCTTCTACCATGTGAAGGCACAGCAGAAAGGTACCATCTAAGAACCAAAAAGCCACCCTC